ACTGCCAAGGTAATTGAATTCCGCCACATATTCCAATAGTTCTTCTCCGATTTTTATAGCATTGTTGTGATCTTCCGGGTGAGTGCACATGATTTTAGTTTTGTCGATGTTTAGCTTAAGGCTCAAAGCCTCGTATGCCCAGGTATATGTGTTCAACATTTCTTGTAATTGTTGTACCGTGTTTGCAACTAGAGTGCAGTCGTCAGCGTATTGAAGTTCTGTGATAAATTTTGTACGTGTTTTTGCCCTGAGTCTTTTTATGTTGAACAGACCGCCGTCATATCAGTATCTAATGCCCAATCCTCTCTCCTGCAGTTTGCTGTCCACTATAATGGAGAGCGCTGCCATGAATATGTTGAATAGGAGAGGCGCTAAGACACATCCCTGCCTAACTCCTGTATTTGTTAGGAATGGGTCTCTCAGTGATCCATGATGTGACACTCTTGACTTGTTGTTTTGGAGGCTTTTACACACTGTAAGAAATTTGTTGGGTACTCCGAACTTTTCCATAATTGCCCAAAGCGCATCTCTGTTCACAGAGTCGAAGGCTTTTGTTAGATCGATGAATGCAACATAAAGTTTAGACTCCTGCTCTTTTACTTTTTCCTGTAGTTGACGGATGGAAAATATGGAATCGACGGTGCCGCGGTTGGTACGAAAACCCCTTTGCGATTCTGGAAGGATTTTTTCTATATATGGGTGCAGGCGGTTTGACATTATTTTTGCAAGAATTTTTCCGCCGATAGCCAATAGCGAAATTCCCCGGTAATTTCCGCAGTCTGATGCACTTCCTTTGTTCTTAAATATATTCACTATATTCGCATTGCGAAAATCCTGAGGTACCTCTCCGCTTTCCCATACGACATCAAAGAGAGCCTTAAGATGACCAATAAGTTCTTTACTTGCACACTTATAGATTTCCGCCGGAATATCGTCACAGCCAACTGATTTGTTGTTTTTAAGCTGTTTTATGGAGGTCTTTATTTCTTGTTCTGTTATTGGGATGTCTAATACATCGAGGGCTGTTATACTGAGGTATTGTGTTTAATGCTTCCATATTGGGGTTGTTTTCTTGGTTAAGGATATGGCTGTAATGTTCTTTCCAGCGATTTCTAATTTGTTCTTCCTCTTTTAGAAGTTCGCCATTTTGAGCCATGATTGGGCAGCTTACCTTCTTAGTTGGGCCGTATACTTCTTTTACAGCCTCGAAGAATTTACGATAATCGTGATGCGTGGCGTACTCTTGAATCTGATTCGCTTTTGTGACCACCAGTTATCCTTTACTTGGCGCAGTTCTCTTCGAAGCGTGTTGTTGGGCTGCTTTAAAGTTGTCTACCAGTCTTGGATTATGTGGATTTGCAGTGACGGCTTGATATGCTCTATGCTTTTGTTCCAACAAAGCCTGTATATGCGGTTGATTTTCGTCAAACCAGTCTGGTTGTTTCTTTTTGTTCGACTTTCCCAGTACTGCTTCGCTGGTTTTATGAATCGCATCCCTTAATTGTGTCCAGCCTTGTTCAGCTTTCAATACTGAGATTGAAGTTATCGGTGGAAGTGATTCTTTGATGGCTTCCCGGAGGGCGTCGGCGGTATTGTTGTTTTCTAGACCCCGTACGTTCAATCTGGTCATGTTGCTTTGCTTTTTACAGCGTGGATGTTTGGGTTTTAACTGGATTTTCATTTTTGAAATTAAAAGTCGGTGGTCAGTGCCGCATTCGGCATCTACTCTAGCTTTTGTGAGCCTAACATCTTTTAGATGCGTCCTTCGAACGATTATGTGGTCCAGTTGATGCCAGTGGCCTGATCTAGGATGTTTCCAGGTACCTTTAAACTTGTCCTTCAACATGAACCACGTATTGGTGATGCAAAGATTATACTCTGCGCATGTTATTAATAAGCGTTCACCATTGCTATTTGCGTTTCCCATTCCATGTTTTCCCAATACGTCAGGCCATATTTCCTGTTGTTTGCCTACACTGGCATTAAAGTCACCTAGCAAGACAATTCGTTCGTGCTTTGGAATTCGTTGAAGGGCATTTTGTAAAGCTTGGTAAAATTTATCCTTATCTTCAATTTTAGCGTCAAGGGTGGGAGCGTAGGCACTAATGATGTTGACGTAAGTTTTGTCTGATATGGGGTACCTTAGGGTCATAAGACGTTCGGAGACACTAATAGGTACTTCTGTTAACTTGGTGGCGATTTCGTTTTTGATCGCAATGCCTACACCATGAATTCTCCTGTGTGTTGCGGGATGACCTTTCCAAAAGAAGGTGTAATGCTCCTCAGTGAGACTACCTTCATCTGCAAAGCGTGTTTCGCTTAGAGCGGCAACATCTATATTTAATCGGTGGAGTTCCTGTGAGACCAGTGCTGTTCTTCTCTCTGGTCGATTTGAATTTATCTTGTCCAGTAGAGTGCGGACGTTCCACGCCGCGAACGTGAAACATTGATGTTTTTTGTTTCTCCGATGATACGCTCGAGTAGGCACCCCTCCCGGAGATCCGATTGAGGGGGTATTTTACCTCCGGACGATAATTTTGTCCCACTCAGAATGTTCCATCATTGCTGTGTGTAAGCTGCGTGAAAAGGTTTAACTGTGGCGGTTACGCTGCCGCACAAAAGTTTGGCTGCAACTGTAGCACGGGATGGCTATGGCACAGTGAGGACTGCGATAGTTCCCTTGTGCTACGTTCTCGGCCGGCTAGGTGTATTTTATTACTCCTTTTCCCCAGAAGATGGTAGGTCTGAGGGTTGTATAAGGTTATACCGCCTATACTCGGCTTACTAGATATATATACTAGATACTTACTAGATATATATACTCATGGCTTACTAGATATTTAAAAAAAAACAAATTTTGGCTGTTTTAAAAATCGTCCCTAATTCCATTATAAGCTATTTTAGACAAAAAGTTTTCAGATAAAAGTTGTAGATAATCACATCCTTAATGAGATTGTGTCCTCGGTTTTTTCTAAAGCCAGTCATTTTTGAGATATGAAACAAACATATGTTTTTTTTAAACGGAAACCATAGCTGGCCGTGACTTCATAAAAAACGCCATTTTTAAGCATTTCAGCGATATAAGCTATAATATTTTTTTTTTGGAAAAATACTGAGTTATAGTCAAGTCTTATAATTTTTAAACAATTTCACTTAGTTAGCCATTCTTAGTTAGCCAAGCTTAATCATCTTTGCTCTCAGAAATGTAAAGCTGTCACATCCAAACTTTGTAAATTAAAATAAACAAAAATTGTAAATATGAATTTTTCAAATAAAGAAAAGCGTGTAGGATTATTGGTTCAACTTTTCTTAGCCATGCACTTTGGCCATACGTTTTCGAGGATACGTTGACCGGTGAATGTTACGTTTTTTAGAGAACGGGTTTGAAAAGCTAAATTTATTTATAGCCAATTCTTATCTTTCTAGACTAATTTCACTTAGATTGCAATGATTGCATGGTATTCTTCTTGTTATGATTTATAACTTATAAAAAGTCAGAATATATTATTAAACGGTTCTTTACAATTTATATTACACAAACTAAAAGTTAAAAAAATAATATCACTACATACATTTTAAGTTCCTTTAGAAACTGTTTAAAAAACCGCCATTGTTTTGAGTCGCATCTTTTAAAAGTGAATTACAACCTATTCTTACAGAAGGACGGGTCGACTTAATTAAACTTCTCTCGTAGCGCCACAACAAGTGCCTCTCTAAAGTTTTTTTTTGTAAAATCTTATTGTTGACCATACCGCATAAAAAATCTAAAATGGATAGGTCAGGTGTTCGAGGAGGCTCATGCAATTGGTCCACCTCTTCCTATCCCTGAGTTTGCATTATTATGATATAAATAATTTTTAACATTTCTTTCATTATGGGGAGGGGGGTTATAATGAAAGTATCTACATGCTCTTCTTCATTTGAAAAATTCATATTTACAATTTTTGTTTATTTTAATTTACATAATTTGGATGTGACAGCTTCACATTTCTGAGAGCAACGGCGATTGAACTTGTTTCCATGGTTAACTAAGTGAAATTGTTTAAAAATGATAAGGATTGGCTACAACTCAGTAATTTTTAGAAGAAAGCATATTATAGCTTATATCTCTAAAAAGCTTAAAAAATGGCGCTTTTTATGAAGTCATGGCCAGCTATAGTTTCCATTTAAAAAACATATGTTTGTGTCATATCTCAAAAACGACAGGCTTTAGAAAAAAAACGGAGGACACAGTCTAATTAAGGATGTGATTATCTACAACTTTTATCTGAAAACTTTTTGTCTAAAATAGATTATAATGGAATTAGGGACAATTTTTAAAATAGCCGAAATTTGTTTTTTACGAAATATCTAGTAAGCCATGAACTTTTTCAAAAATCTGAAAGGCGCATATTTATGACCCCACAAAACTGCAATTCTTTCCCCATTTAACCGACTCTCTATCTCCAGTAGTTTCAGAGATACCCATAGAAAACATCGTAGAAACCTCACCCCGTATAGGGCCTTTGAAATATATTTGGAATTCGGCCTTAATACAATCCCTCAAATTGTGCATCCCATTCAACTATAATCTGTATATAGGACCCATGTACAACAACTGATGAAACATCATAAGCACACATTCAAGAGTAAGTACTACGACGATCTGAATGGCACTGAAATAAAAAGAAATTAATAAAACATGTTTGATCAAACTAATTTGATAAGTAAATTGTCTGGTGTACGCTAAATCAGTTAATAATCGGCAACCGTGTAAACTTCTCCATAACGGCCAGCGCGGGCTGCCGTGCGACGCGACGACGATACCGTCGTCACAACTTACAGAATAATATAGCTTGGAGCTTGGACACTCGCCAATTTTTCCCACGCTCGAATTTAAAACGCCCCACTCCGACGATGCTTAACAGAATTAAGCAAGCGACCGACAGTCAGCCTCATTCAGTCGATGCATAACCTCCACCGGTGACGAGTAGTGCCGTATTACGGAAGATTTTAATTCGATTTTTTTCTTATATTTAACCAGAGGTATTTGTGCTTTTATTTCAATTTTATTTTTATTGTTGGAATGGGAAAAGGTTTTCCGGGATGTGCGGCTGTTGGTTGCACTAATAATTATGGAAATAATTCAAAATATAGTCTGTTTATTTTTCCTCGAGATGAAAAAAGGTATGTAATTTAATTGACATTTTTGTTATTTTTATGGACCTAAATAAGTTTCTTTGCTTTTTAGTTTTTTGCATAATATGTTCCCTATATATTTTATACTTAATATTATATTGTAAGTGGCGAAAGTGGGTGGTTTAGATGTGAAATTTTCTAGAGCGAAGATGTGGGCGATCGCCGCAGGAAGAAACGACTTGCTTGAATCTGTGCACAAATTATTTAAAAAAAGATTATGTTCTGCCCATTTTGAAGAACGTATGTATAAAAATGAACGCCGAAATAGACTGAGTGATACTGCGGTACCCACAATTTTTCGTGCATTGGAAGGATCATCGAGTAAAGCCCTGAAATCAGAGCAAGGTATTACTGAAGAAAAGACCCATATAACACACAATATCCGCAGGATATTCATAGAATGTCGGAATGTCCCATTATAAGATCATCTTATAAAGACATCTATAGGATATCCTCCAGACATCCTGAAATCCTGTAGATGTCTCAGAATATCCAAACATGTTCATGATAATAAAATATTCTAACAATATCGTCTAGATATTTAGGAAAAATAAATAATGTACTACTTTTTATATTACATAAAATGCAATAAACCATACAGATAGATATATATTACGTCAAGGCAACAAAATATCCTGTTGGTATCTTCTGGATAATCTGGGTATTTATGAGCTTGGCCACTCCCAGTAATACAGAGAATTTAAAACGCCCGCGCAAAAAATTTCCCACAATCCATCTCGACAGTTGTTTGTTTTTGATGGTTTTTGCATCGTGTATTATTCAGTTCTTTGATTTAGTGAAATTCGAGGTGAATTCGGTTTGTCGATATTGGATGGGCTTAAAATGACTGAAACTAACAAAACTGGTTGAGTTTGACTTAGTTTTTTCTTATACTCGTAGTTCTAGCCTTGTTCTAGCAGAAATTCTATCCTAACCTCAACTAATGTCGAAAAACGACGAGCGACTCAGGGTCTCACAATGAAAATTTGTGACAAAGTTATAGGTGAAAATTTGTTGAAAAGCGCTTGTTCTTTATCCCTAAACCCATTTTCGTGTTTGATCTATTCAAACAGAAATCCTATTTTTGTGTTTAAATTGTGAGTTTCTGGAATGTTTGGTGTTAGAAATTATACCTGTATCCTGTGTGCTAACTTTGATGTAAACTCTTGCTGCTAGACTCCATAAAGGGTAGTATAATCTGGTATAATACTATACGATCGAAATAAACGGCGTCAGAGGTGGCTTGGAAATGAAGATTGCTGTTATTTTGTACGTAAAATTATATGGGGAATGTCATCGATCGAAATTTTCAAGCCAATTGGACGCCGTTTTTTTTTCGATGGTACAGTGAAAGCTCTTAACTCATACAAATAAACTTCTAAATTTTGACGCAAAATTCATTGACATAATATGTAGGTATATTTTAGAGCTGTTAATAAAAATATCCAATGAATAACGTCAAAATGTGGCTAAATAAAACTAAATCGCGAACGTTTTTACTATAAACTAGGGATGAAGTAAGTATTGTCAAATAACAGTCCTCATATAATGTCCTAAAAATATTCTATAATGCTCCCAACATCATCTTAGAAATATCCCAAATAATCGTAAAAGGCTTTGCCTAGGTATGTCTTGAAGATGACTTTTTTTGTCCCATCTGAATATCCCATAAATATTCTCCTCTGGTTTTTGGATATCCCTAAGATATTTACTATATCCTTGGTAGATATCCTCAAGATATCTATAGGATTGTGTTGTGTTATATGGGGAATTATTTAAGAAAAACAATCTTCGTAAAAGTAATATATAAACAAGGGTAATATTAAGAAGGTTTTCCTAAAGTTTCAACTAAGTAAACACAATGTATAAATTGTATTTCATTAGACAGAGACATAAAAATTAGAGTGTACCTATTTTAATTCCATTTCCACGTTTAATTAACGTCTTTCTCAAGGCTAAAAATGCATAAACATCGAAAAGTCGACTTTTTTAAAGTAAGGAGTGTTATTATTATCTTACCAGCCAATGATCAAAACCTAGTAAAGAAAGAGAATACAAAATCCTAATCATAAATTGTACTTTTAAACAGGGATAAAAAGACCGTTGCAATCTCAACAAGAGAAGGTGGTTCCTGCTACAGTAGTAAAAGTTACAAATGATGGTAAGTACTTTTATAATCTTCTTAATTATATTTTTACCATAATTATAATATTCTAGAGCGCATAATTATTGCCGAGCCAAGTTGTTTAAATCTCAAAGTTAAATCAGAAACTGTTACACTGGAGGACAAAATAGAAGGTAAATGTGAATATTTTTTTTTATATTTTTACCTTCACATCCTAACAGATGGGTATAGTAATAGCAAAAAAAATCAAAAAATTTTATTAGGAGGTAAAACTTAAAATATTTAGTTATCAATTTCAAATTTGGTACATAGGTACTAATAAATCTTTTTTATGTTTTGTGGGGAGAAAATTCAATTTAATTTTATTTCTATGACGTGTTTACATTTAAAGGCGATACAAGAAACGCATTCTTTCTTGTATTCCCTTTTTTATCAGAAAAATATTTTACTTTTTATGGACTTAGTTTTCATAGCATTTATTTGATGTGAAAAAAAAAGTCCATTGGCAGCGTTTTTACTTTGATATTATTATCTTGTAGAACCGAAGACTCTTGGGGGGATTATTTCAAGCTGCTATTGTGCTAGTGAAATTCGAAAAAAAAATCCACAATCTTCAGAAACACGCCAATCTGGTAAGTACTTATACAAAATCTTCTTAATTGTGTTTTTTTACAAAATAATATATTGCAGAGCGCATAACTATTGAATCAATTTGTGCAAATCTCGGAGAAAAATCAGAAACTGTTATTCTGGAAAGCAAAATAGAAGGTATAAACTTAATGCGTCATTTTTTACAATTTCTACTTTGTTTTTGTTTTACAGAACCGAAAACTCCTGAAAGAAATATTTCAAGCTGCTTGTCTGATGGTACGTAACACATTCACAATCTTCTCAAACATGTAAATCACTAAGAGCCAGTACTCCAAGAAAGACGGCAATGAGGGTCAAATATAAGTCTTTAACAGCAAAATATACTAGATTAAAACACAAATTTAACCGGACTCAGCACAAAGAACAATATTTAGATTTAATTACATTTGAACAATACAAAATACTTACATATAAGTTTTTCCCGTCATCAGAACTTGCTTCTTCTATTAATGCTGTAATGAGCCAGATTAGAAGAAAACCAAAAGACAGGCGGTATTCGAATGAATTTAAGAACTATTACCTTTCATTGTATTTCATTGGGCCAAAATTATACAAAAAAGAATTGGTTCGGAAACTCGGCTTACCATCTGTTAGAACACTTTATTGAACATGTTAAAATTCCTCCTGTCGTAAATGACATTATTTTTGACAGTCTTCAAAAGAAAGTATGCAATTTTCGTGAAATAGACAAGCTTTGTACAATCTGTTTCGATGAGATGAGTATCAAAGCTAACTTTTTTTACGGTAATGATACAGACAAAATTATTGGATTTCAGGATTTTGGAAACGGACAAAAAGATTTTTTGCCAGCTCTAAATGCAGTTTTGATGGCCAGAGATATTGTTTCCAATTGGAAACAACTTCTGGGTTTCTTTTTTGTAAATTCTACAATTTAATATCCTACAAAATTGAAGGATATTATTTTTGAAATGAAAATTGAATCAAAATTAAGTGCCATTGGGTTAAAAGTTAAGCAACAATCTTCAGTTGTCTAAAATGTTAGGCATAAGTCCAAAAAATCCTATTTTTATCATGACAATTTAGTACAAAAGTATTTTATTTATTTGATACGCCACACTTATTGAAATCGCTTCGCAATAACTTAATGAAAAATATTTTTAAAATAGATGATGGCAATACAGGGTGTCCCAGGCTGAGCGTGCATTAGAAGTTTCTAGAGAACCACAATATCTAGATCGAAGATTTTTTACACATCACTGTTTTACAACGAGATCTATCGATTAAAAATATTTTCAATATGGGGGCACTTCCGGAAATACCGGAAGTTGACAGCAACTTTCTTATTTTAAATGGGTGCCCCCATTTTTTATTACATACTTAAATTCTCTGTAAAATTCTACGAATATAGATGTTAAACACTCTATACCTAACCTTAACCGTTTTCGAGAAATGACATATAATAATGGCGGTAGCTGTCATGGAATTGAGCGATTAAAAAATTATCTTATATCATTTTTTTGAAATGGATACCCACTTTTTTATTTCACCAGTGAAAAGATTTTTCAATTCATTACTGTTTAACTATAAAAGTTCCTATGCCTAAAATAAATCGTTTTTAAGTTATTTAAGATTTAATTTGAAAATGTATATTTTTCTTGATTTTATCTAGCTTCCTTTGACATTAAGTGTCAAACGATCAGACAATTTATTTCCATCTGTCACAAAAACGAATTATTTAAATTTCTTAAATTATAAATACTGCCTGCTTAAGAGTTTAAAAGGTGTATTTATAAAACCATATCTAGTATTTTCGCTCTTTAGTGATATGTAATAATTGATATTATTAATAATATTCCGTATAATCGAAAAAAAAACAGCGCAAAGTTAGCTCGGAAATGATGCTGCTTTTTGAAGAAAGCGTTACAATATGACATGGCCAGATCTATTGTTTCACATCACTTACTGCTACTGGTTAATAGTATATGACTTTAAACGTCAAGTGATGTTAAACAATAGATCTGGCCATGTCATATTGTGACGCTTTCTTCAAAAAGCAGCATCATTTCCGAGCCAACTTGGCGCTGTTTTTTTTCGATCATACGGAATATTATTAATAATATCAATTATTACATATCACTAATCAAGAAAAATATACGCTAATAAAACTAAATCTTAAGTAACTTAAAAACGATTTATTTTAGGTATAGGAACATGTATAGTGAAAAAGTAACGAATTGAAAAGCCGTTTCACTAGTGAAATAAAAAAGTCGGTTTCCGTTTGAAAAAAATGATTTATGATAATTTTTTAATCGCTCAATTCTATGACAGCTGCGGCCATTATTATATGACATTCGAACAGTTTAATTTTTGAAATAGATAGCCACATGTTTTCTCTTTATGGCACAGGGGCTGTGGTAATCATTAAATTTGACGTTTAGGCTATACACATATTTTTGACAGGTAGTTTTTTTCGTTCAAAAATTTCAATATTTTTTTTCTCAAAAACGGTGAATGTTAGATATAGAGTGTTTAATATCAAAAATCATAAAATTTTACAGAGAATTTAAGTATGTAATAAAAAATGCAAAAATAAGAAAGTTACTGTCAACTTCCGGTATTTCCGGAAGTGCCTCCATATTGAAAATATTTTTAATCGATAGATCTCGTTGTGAAACTATGATGTACAAAAAATCTCCGAGCTAGATGTTGTAGTTCTCTAGAAACTTCTAATGCACGCTCAGCCTGGGACACACTGTATATCCTGGAAGTTTATTGAAACTTTTTACAGGAATGATCAAAATTACCCGATAAAAGCAGCACCAAAACTTACCGAGGCGCATATTAATCCAAATAACTTTTAAAAAATGAAGGTGAAATATGCGTCTCAATTATTTAGCAATAGTGTGTCGGCTGGATTAAACTTGTATATTAGATTTGGAAAGCTGCTTCCAGAAGCAACGGTAACACATGAATTTGTACAAAAAATCAACAACCTTTTTGATTTATTGAACTCATCTAATATTTTTGGAGCTACTTTATACCAAAATGCCTATAATGGCAACATTAACCAGAAAAAATTCTTGAAGAGTGCTATAACCTGTTTCTGAATTTAGTAGTTCTAGATTCAAATGGCAAAAATGTTACCAAACGAATAAAGTGTATCCAGGGTTGGAAAGTTACGTTAAGCAGTATAATGGATCTTTGGGATGAAATAAAAAATGAGGGTGTTACATTTTTGTTTACAAGGAATCTACAGCAACACTGTCTTGAAAACTTTTTTGGGTGCATCAGGCAGCAAAACGGTAATTGCGTTAACCCCACCCCAATACAATTTGTTAGAAGTTTTAGAAAACTTTTTTGTATAAAAATGTTAAATTCTGGAATGGAAAATTGCGAAGAAGATGCTGCATGATTAATTCTAAAGATTGCAGATATTCCACAAAATCAATATGTCGTTGTGTCCAATAATAATCGGCAAGAAACATCTAGAATAGATAAATACTATGCGAATAGCGATATTTTACAAAAAAAAATTAGATATATTTCTGGATACATTATATAGAAATGTTTAAATTTCAGTTTGCCAATCTTATGGAAACAAAGTATCGACTGAATTGGATCATTCAAAAGTATATTCACACTTTAGAGCTTTTCAAAACGATAAAGACCACTTATTTGGAGGGTTGCTAATGCCAAGTGACCCGTTTGTTTAATTTGTGTCCTCCCCAATGGAGTCTATTTTTCAGAACAATTTTGAAGAACTTTCCTTAAATGAAAATATATTATGTAAATTCGTTAAATTATTTCAGACAATTAAATTCAACCATCCTTCTCAAAATTTTCCTATAATGTATTTGTTAAAATTATACGCAAAAGTTAGAATTTATTATAGGGTAAAGTAAGATATGTTGGTGGTATAGGTAAATTGATGATAGTTTTTTAATAATTTTTCAGCAACTCGCCTATTCAGTGAGAGGCCTTAAAACGTGTCGGTTAAATCTATCTAATATCCTCTCCATGCTGCATAGTCTACGGCCTCGGTTTATTTGTTTACGTTTAGGAAAACGTTTGCTTCGTGCCGGTAAATAAAGTCATTCAATTTGATCATTTTTGTGATATAAATTGATTTTATTTGTAGTTGGCGAACTGTTGAAAGGTAAGAGTTTGTTCCTGTGTTATCCCATAGGGAATATGCTACTTTTTAATGTGGTACAATAATAATGAGCTTAAAATATTGTTTGCTCTTGTTAGAGCTTAAGTTATTCGGCCATTTTCTTAGCAATTTTGCATGCAAAACGTGAATGTTAGGACACAGACTTTTATATAAAATTATGATTGGCCCTGTGGTGTCTGCGGAATCAGCTATCGCGAAGATGTGAACGCTAAAAATGGTGCCTTATGGGTTCAGTGCTCTTTTTGCTGTGTTCCGTATCACACAAATTGTCAAACGAGACCTGACGATGAAGACATCTTATTATTATTATTTCTACTAGGTAAAATACTTGTTTTGTAATAAACTTAAAAATTTTCACCCATTTTATTTTCAACTGCTCGTAATCTCATATATCACCAAAATACCTTTCCACGATCACCAAATTAACTTACCTATAACCAAATTACCTAACCAATTTGTATTTTTTTCAAATGTATTTTTTCTGTCAAAATTGACATCATCTTATCGTTTTGGATATATAAGCGATTGTTTGAAACATAAACCTTCCGGATAGGTAAGTTGGAAAAATAATATATCTTCATACGAATTCAAATTGCCCATGTTCAAGCAAAAATATCACCAACTTACCTTACTTTACCCTACCTTAAAGAATATTAATAAGAACTTAAATGTAGCAAACAAAAACTGAAAGCTCCTAATTTAGAAACATTCGTAAATAACTATAAGTAATCAATGGACCTATTGCATTTTGCTGTTATTTCTAGAAATAAATTAATTACTTTGTTTGTTAAATGTTTTTCTTTGAGAATGCATATTTATTTAATGGCACTGCAATAAAAAGAAATTAATAAAACATATTTGTTGAAAGTGAAACTAATTTGATAAGTAAATTGTCTGGTGTACGCTAAATCAGTCAATACTCGGCAACCGTGTAAACTTCTCGATAACGGCCAGCGCCGGCTGCCGTGCGACGACGATACCGGCGTCGCCGTCCTCGTGTTCGCCGACGTCGAGTGACGTCAGAGCGACCACGTGTTGTTCGCGAACATTTTCCTGCGTTGCGGACATGCGCCACGTCGCAGAAATGCGGATAGCGCGACAATCATCGATACGGGTTGGGCCGTGAGGCTTACTATACATGTAATCGGCCAGCCACCGCATTTAGTAATTATTTAAAATTAAAAACACAAGTAGTAGTAGATTAAAATCGATTTCTATGGACCTGGGAATTGAATCTATTTTTTTTGACTATGGTAATAATTCGTGAGAGATATGTGATACACAGAGAATCAAATCATAGAGTTCGTTTCATAGAGAAATTTTCTACTTTCATTATTATTAGTACCGGATTTTTTTTGATTTAGTTTATTAAATTTTATGCTGAAAACCTTTGCGAAGAAGTTGACTATCCAGGTTAATTTACTTCCAAAAATTAAGCACATTTTGTATCAGTAATTTATACACAATATATTTTCATTGTCGATATCGTCGATATTACAAACAGTAAAAACGTAAAATTTTCTATGCATATTAAGTAAAAACGTTGGATATTAGCACTTTATGACCTTACTAGTTGAAGCCTGGCCCATCCGCCACGACATCAAGAGAAAAAAAAAACTTTTTATGTTTTGTTTAATTAAATGAAAAATTTAGAAGAGCCAATTAGCTATCTTTTAGTAAAAAAAGCAACTTTCTAGAGAGCAAGTTGTTACTTCAGTAGAGACGACACAGATAAACATTAGCATTTTATATATGTAGATATAGATGAGTATTGAAAAAAGTTAAGCACAAAAGTCTAATAAAACCTCTTTGTAAGCGTAAAAATTAAGAAAATATATGTACATATTTACAATATTCCCAGCTAGCAGCCATTGACATATTGATTGACAGTTGATCGACGGCCTTCGCATACAATTTGCGACGTTATCAATATAATGGTTTTATATTATTTTCTTTATCAAGTAACTTTGATAATTTTAGAAAATAGACCCGATAAAAATTAATATTTATTCATAATAATTGAAGTTATCATAATACAGCTCTAGAAATCAAAACACACTGTGTTTTTGCAAAAATACTATTAGTTTGGCTAGGTTTTCGGTTTGTTTGGTTAGATTTTGGGTTGTTTTGGTTAAGCTTTGAGTTGCTTTGGTTAGGTTTTGGGTGACTTTGGGGGTGGTTTGGTTTTATTTCCGCAGATAATCATTTTTTTAGATGTTATATAAAAACGTAAAAAACCAGAAAAATTAGCGTTAAATAGCGGCAACATCACATAAAGTAATATTATCATATGCTTGTGTAATCTGTCACAATTCCTCCGCGACTTAAAATAGTACCATCATTTTAATTGAATATTTTCAAATTTACTGGATAATCCGCAATTTTTTCCGCTAAAATTACCTATTATTAAGAACCGTACTTTTGAGGGAAATTTTTATTTTTTTTTAAACCTCAACTGGCTTGGTGGGGTCTCGCGGAACCCATGCACTGTTTAAACTTTTGTAAAATGTTTACGTTTAACATTTAGGCCTCGCTGCGCCATTTACCTTTAAGTTATTGTACCCATATGCAACTGTTAAATGCACACTTGTTTTTATCAAGTATTGTTCCTATCAGCAGGTGTTAAAGTTTCATTAGGATCTGTGTGGCACCACCACGCCAAGAATGTTTCATTTTTAGGATGGTTGGTAGTCCAAAAAGTGTGCGTCATGGGGACCCTAATTTTAAGAAAGCATTAATTGAGTGGATTGATGAACTCAAAGAGACTTAAGTGATATGAAAATCATCGAGACATTGTTTTTTCTCCGAGAGTAGCCATAACTCCGATTCTGAATCTTTTACTTATAGAAGAGAGAATATTGAATAATCAATACCAGAAACGAAAGAGATATGGTATAAGTCAACGGAGAAATTACAAAAAACAAAATCCATGTGTGGCAACTTCAGATCCTATGTTAGCATCAACTGTATTTGAAAAAGTTATGTCATTCAAAGTTTGCAGTTTTGTTGAAAATAATTTATGTTTATTACTATAGCTTCACATTTCTGTTGTTTGTACTTTAAATAATACGGGAAAATCATAAAATATATACTTAGGTTTTTAATTTCTATGGGTTTCTTAGCCTAAATTATATTTGTGTTGTCAAAAATTCCTAAAAACTTTTTAAACGTTTTACTTTATTTTTGTGTCCGTTCTTGTTAATTTATTGAAAATGAATTCGATTGTTTGTTCACAAATTTGAATATATTGTAAACAGAGTTTACAAATAACAAACTTTTTATAAAATTTCTTCATCATTTATTTTTAACTGAAAAACCCAGAACGCCACAAGCGGTACAAAATTCACCACGCCATGCCAGTTAAGGGTGAAAATTCTACTGTCCGTAAAGGCGAACGGACCCGCTCTTTCTTTCCATAAATAAAAAAACAAATAATTGCAAAAATCTCCGGCCCAACTCTTCCATCATAGGCGTGCAAGATCCGCGGCCAACCTGCGCTGCGTTGCGCCGGCCAGTCGGCAAAGGCAGCGTTTCGACCCCGCCGCGGTCTAACCTCGAATTTGGCGCGAAGGGCAATCGCCCGTCTCTTTCTCGCTCGTTCTCGTTATCGTATATCGGCGACAAACAGATATTATGGCCCACAAAGCCAAAAACCTATGCCGGTTCACGCGAGAATTGGACGAGAAATTGATCGAGCTGATATCGAAGAACGCAGTGCTGTACGACATAAACCACAAATATTACAAGGACCTGAACGTGCGAGACGACGTGTGGCTGGCTATCTCCTCTATAGTGGGAAAGAGCGGTAAGTGCTGATGCGATGTTGCCCGGTCGGAGCGGATTTAGTTGAACTTGGGAAAACCAAGTTCAAGGTCTACTTTATATGTATATTATAATTAGTATAATTCAATTCTAACTGGGATTTTTTATAACCTGAACTAGAGATGAGCAAAAGCAGCAATTTTTCGCGCGCAGCAATTTTCAATTCATTTAAGGTACGGGGGGGATCATTCCTTAGGGCAATATGGCGTGTTAGCATGTCCCAAGCATGCTCGATCATATTTATATCTGGAGACATCGGTGGCCACCACAGTTGTCTTATTTCCTCTTCCTCACAAAATTCGCGAACCGCTAAAGTGCGATGCGGAGGAGCATTATCGTCCATGTAAACAAATTCATCCCCCACTGCCTCTCGAAATGGACGCACAATAGGCTTTAAAATGTCTCTAAGATATGAGGCACCTGTAATTGTGCCATCAAAAAAAAACAAGAGGAGTTCGAGCTCCGTGCATTATACCTGCCCATACCATAATGCTTCCCCCTGGAAACGGGCATTCAAGCGTGCTCGTCTTCCAGTTGCTCTCCAGACCAAAGTTCGTCGCAAGTCTAACACTAGGCCTATTCTTGTTTTACTAAACATGATGAAATTCCAATTAAGTCCATTTGCTTTCATCTCCTCAGCCCATTGTAGTCGCGTAATTTTGTGCTGTTAATTAAGCTTCGGAACACGTAGTGGCCTCTTTATGTCCTTGTAGAGGCCTCCTTATGTCCTTCCTCTGTCATGGAGTCTTCTTGCTATGGTCTTTCTTGAAACATTTACTCCTGCAAGGCGAGCTAACTCATTTTTAATAGCAGTACTAGAAAGCAGGGGATTGCGTCGTGCAATTAGGGATATTTGACGGTCTTGCACAGCAGTAATAACTCTCTTTCTACCACTTCCAGGCCGGTCAGTAACCTCGTTTGTCGCCCTGAATTTTGTTAATATTCACTAAACATCGCGTTTGGTTTGGTTAACTCCTACAATTACAAACTATTGCAACTTGCCGGTAGCCATGTTAAGACAGTGTAACTTTAAGACAGTGTAAATAATAAATTTTGACTCTATTAAACTGTGAAATAATGTTTCTAGGCATTTTAAGGCCAAAACAATGGTCAAATTTCTTCTGAAACCGCAGAGACCACAAATCGAAATGTGCAAGAATTTGTAATAATATTGGATGAACGATAAACATTGTTTACCATATCCATTTTAACAATAAAAATGTTTATTACAGATTCTCAAAGCTATGTAAAAAAAAGATTCTTTAAATTCCTTTCCGTATATTTTTAAACGATATATGCAATAATTTTGGCCATGTGTATATTATCATAGAAATTATTTTACAGTTCAAGAATGCAAGACAAGATGGCGAAGCCTACGAGACCTCTACCATCGCAAAAAGAAAGATCAAAAAATGGGGAAAAAGATTAGATCACCTTGGGAGTATATGGAACATATGGCTTTTCTTGAGGATTTTACCACAGAGAAAAAGTAAATATAGCTTTTACCGTATAAGTATTTATTATTATTAACTAAAATTTAAGTTGTGAGTTTTTAATTTATGAAGTAATATCAATATTTGGATAAAAATTGGTGTCTGGGAGTTTTTTGACATGAGAAATTTGATTTTGCTGTCAATATGACTCCTTCTTGTAGAGGGTGCTACCCACATATTTTTAACTGGTTTGAAGAGTAATGATTTTTCGTCCGTACCTGTATAAAATAAGTGAGTAAAAAAATATACGACGTAAAAACGACGTTTGGTCTGGTAAGGTCTTGTAAAAATCGCCACGAATAATGGTTCTCGAGATCAGGGGCGGGATACAGGAATTTATTTTAGGGTAGGCCCAAATAAAAAGTAATGTAGAATATGTTTTTAGGGCGCAATTTTTTTTCACAACCCAAAAGCCTAATATTTAACCCAATTTATAGGCCCAGGCCCCATGGCCCCCCTTTGCATCCGCCACTGCTCGAGATATTTGGAATCGAAATTATCAATACCTATCATCATTGGCATAAATTAAACATGTTGACTAAACAGTTATTAGACTGAAATTATAAATTTGAAATGTTTTTGTGCCAAAAGTTGAACATAAACTGTTTTATCGTCATTTTTCGCAGAAAAATTTATGATTAATTTAATACAATAAAAATTATCCAAATTTATTTTTTTAGTCAAATCAGTAATGACACGAATTGACTATTTCCATTTTAAATATCCTGAGAACGGTTGCTCGTAGCGATTTTTATCAAGAGACCTTTTTTACGTAAAAAGTCACGGAAATGTATATTTTTTTTTTCACTCAGTAGTTTTATACAGGACGGACGAAATTTATTAATCGTCAAAACAGTTAAAACATATATAGGTAGCGCCCCCTTCAAACAGGAGTCATATTGACATCAAAATCAAATTTTTCATGGCAAAAAAAATCCAGACACAATTTTCAATCAAATATTGACATTAAAAAAAATGAAAAATTTGAAATTATTTGAAAAAAATTGAAATAGAAATGAAATTTCTATACCCTGTGTCTCTGAAACTAAGCATCTTAGGACATACATTATTTATACAAACCTTTTTACTTAAATTTATCTGCGGAATATGCTGCCGAAGTTTCCGGAATACAGTTCGGACCACCCTATATAAATCCGTCAAGTGTCTTCTCTTTTTGTTTGTAACTAGTCTTATTGGTTGATTTCGAAAATGACAGATCATATTTCAATATGATTGGAGTGACGGTACGATCAACGACGCACGGACGTAGATGCGTTTAAACTCGACTTAAGATATTTGGTTTTTGTCAAATTATAAAGGTTATTATTTTTTTGGTATATATTCTTTGGTTATTATTTGTGTCAAATTATATAAAAAATGAGCGTTCTGGAAAATATTTGCGAAAAATATTTCTGCATTTTGGTGTGTTTTGTGTGTTTCTGAAGTTAAATGGAGGAAAAATCGGGGGAAAAGTAAGTATAGACCGAGAGAGTTGTACAATATGATAAAAAAAAGCGTCAGCGATGGCTATGAAATGAAAATCGTTGCCATTTTATATGTAAAATTATATGGTGAATATCATCGATCGTCATTTCCAATCCAACTGGACGCCGTTTTTTTCGGTATTAACTACCAATAAGTTTGTACACCATCAATATGGTACTTTTTCTTTGAAAAACCTGGAACAGCTGTAAAATAAAAGTACTAGATATAGAGATATAATAAGATGAAAAGATAGGTACTGGTTTAAAAAAATAGGATTACAGTTAATTAACCCACTTTTAACCTTTCGGCGGTCGCGCTTTATTTTTTAAAACTCGCGCGCGGACTCCACATCCTAAATTCGAGAGATCTTGTAGCAGCCTAAAATAATTTCTTATTTTTGCGCTACATCTCTAGCAGAATTTAAGTAAAATAATGCCCATCCCTAGTTTGTACCGCTGCCGTTTTGGTAGTACTGTGAATGCCGTTCGATGTGGTGGCGCAGGGTTGCCATTTATATTATTAGTTAGAATTATTCTTTAAATGTTATTAATAACTTTCCTGAAATTTCATTATTTCGAGCACAGCTTGTTGTGTGTTGATTTTTTTTTCTTCATAAGATAATCTCTGGCAGAATTTTAATGTTTTATTCGGATGTTTCCACTTTCGACACTTCCATTTCAACCACGGCCAGAAGTCCCAGGGTGGTTTTCACCTTCCTAGAAAAGTTTTTGTTACATCGTATGTGGCGGAGAATAGCCCTGCGAGTAAGTTATAGTTTTCTTCTTTTGCTTTCTTTCGTATACTTAGAGAAACATAATTTATTATTGATGTGTCCCTTACCAACTCAAGGGGAAGAATTGGTATTTTGGGAGTAGATTTTGGAAGCAACTTTCGTTTTGGAAACGTGAACATTTTGGGAGTTTTTTTGAGAAGATTTTAAGAGCAGCAGTAGTTTTTTGAGCCGAAGTTTTTGAGCAGTTTTTGTTTTTTCTGAATGGTGCCGTGAAAGTTCCCTGTTGGAGGCTGGTGTGAATTGGCGAGTTTCCCTTTACCGCAAATTTCCAGGTTTTCTGATGCTTTGAAGCAGTTACTAATGGACATGGGCCCAAGTACAATACGAAATCAGCACTGATTGACTACAGCTTCAGAGCAAAAACTAAGTACTCATTTACGTTTTGTTTTAGAATCTTTTTGCTCTTTTTTCTTAACTTTCTACCACCTTTTATATTGTAACTTTTTAATGAAACTTACACAACGATTACGTTTAGTAATTTATAATTGCTAATATTTAATTTAAGGCTAAATATAAAAATAACATAAATTTATTGTATTTTTTAATGACTTATTCTGATTCATTTTCAAACATGAATTTCAATCTATTTAATTTTTAATAAATGTACATAGTTTCTAATTAAATTTTCATATTTTAATTTGAGATATATCATTACAGAACATCTTTAGCCTGCGGTAATTTTCTTATTTTCTTAAATATCACCTTAACTTGGCTTAAATTAAGTGGTGCCCAGCAATATGCAAATATAATAATTGAATGAACCTACACCTATTATTGTTCACCAGATGATAATCAAAATAAAAACTATTTAATGACATGTTTCATTACAAATAGCAAACATAAATATAAAATAACATAAAACCCGCAAAACACAAACTAATAAATATTATTCAGAAACAAAATAAATATTGTGACACTGTACACAAGAGTAACGAGTTGGTCTATTTTTCAGCCATCATCACATTTCTGTAGGGCCGATCTTCTGGTAGTACTGTATTCAGTGATTCAGAATCTGAAATTGATTTTTCTGTATCAGAATTTATTTTGGGACCTTGCCCTTTCTATAATATCCACTTCTCTTTCTTTCATGTCATCGTCATGTTCAGTAGTTAATGTTAATTCGTCATCTTCCTTCAAACCATAGATTTAACAAGAACAGATATCACATTTTGCAGTTTAACCCGATCAAACAATCGGAGGTTGACTACGTACTGTAAAAACCAACTGAGATAGAGAAGGTGACATTGCCACATATCAAATTTGCGTCTATCTACGGCGACTTTAAAACCTTCATCGGAAATCAATAAATCTCAATTACTTAATTAAAATAATAAAGTTTATTTTTAAAGAATCATGCGTAATAATATGTTATTAACCAGAGGATATATGCGTTAATATTAAAAACATGTTTACTGTTTATTAATGTGCTGAAACGTCTAGAACTATTGGCAACGTCGCTGCTAGTCTTGCACAATGAAATGAGCCGTCCGTCCCACCACCGCCCCTCGCGACGGCCTTGGTCAGTTGTAGCGTACTACGTTTAGGTTACGGTGCGTTTGAAGTCGGAATTGGTCGGAATAAAGTCCGAACTTTTCAGTGTTTAACGTACTTTTGAATCGGCGAATTGTCAATATGGTACGACAGTGTCAAGTGTGTGGGAAAATAAGCAGACTTCACCCAAATTTGTCTTTTCACAGGTAGGTATTGTTTGGATTTTTTATATTTCCCGCCATAATTGTACATTGTACATAGCCGTCCACAAGGGAGCCTCTCACAATTAAAATAATTTCTAATTATATTTGTGTGAATTTTGATCTATTAAAACAAGAACGTAGTAGCCGGTAATTGAATTATAATTCGTCTCAATTACTAACTGTTGTAGATCATAACAAATTTGAATATAAACGTTGCATTTGAAAATTTATTATAAGCCAGAAGTGACATTTTTTTTCTTAAAATTGCATCATATTTTGGTCATTATGGTATACGACATTCTAAAGGAATTTTGCTCAACAAATAAACAAAGGTGTTTACCCCTCCTTTTTTACATTTTATTGCTTTATTATATCTGTCCCTTGCAAATACCTCTACCTAGAGTTATTTGTACAGTGTGTTTACCTTTTTTTTAGAATGAGACGAACTGTAAATAATTCTTGGCTACTACTTTTATACATACCTATATACAGAGTGATCCAGGCCTCCAAAAAAGCTTTTTACCTATTACGTTTTCGGTTTCTGATTTTTATTTCAATTTACATAAATTTACATAAGATTACAGGACCATTGTAATGCACATTTTCAAAATATTTTTGTCAACATACAGGGTGATTCCAACCGCAATACATATGCTTAATAAAGTTCATGAAGATTGGGACATTTAACTAAAATTTGATTGTCTGATGAAGCTACCTTTAAAAGTAATGGATTTGTAAATAAACGTAATATTCATTATTATGCGACAGAAAACCCACACTGTAGCACACAAATTTGATACTTTTAATGATAAAAGCCTTCTATTGAGAGACTGAAAGGCAATTGCCTCGTATCAGAGCCATCATAATACAAGAAGACCGTAAGTCAAATATTGTCTTACATATTCAAAAAAAAAACACAATTTTCTCATTAAATATTGATTTTAGGTATATATAGGAAGTTATTAATAATACAAGATTAAACAACTATTACACAGTACTTCACAGGAAGAAATTGTTTAATTTTATAT